GGGGGGGGGGGGGGCAACAACAAAAGGGTAAAAAGAAGTGTCAGTACTTTATGTGGCATGAACAAGGACCTTGTAAATACTTCGTGTAAATACTGGACTGTGAGTATATTGTGCGAGGCTAACCGCAGGCGCTTAGCTGAATAAACAGGAGGATATTTACGTCCATAAATCTCTTTGCTCAAGGCCAGCAATGAGCCTGGACTGATAAGAGCACTGCAAGCTTGTAGAATCATCACATTCCAGGTGAAGGATGAAAAGTGCACTGTGAGGAGGACCCACGGCCTTCCTCCTGAAGACCACCGCCCATGATCTGAGGACCCCTGCCCACAATTTTAGCAGAATCTGCGCAAGCGTAAAGAACTGATAAGCTAATTACCATACAAAGCGGGAGTAGGCAGGTTTTAGGTAATGTATATGTATAGGCGTATCATGAATATGCAATGCTTTGTAATATAAAACTAAGACAAGGTGCCTTGAGAGGTGTGAGCCGTTGGTGGAGCGGAGACTCCCCGGCCACTCAGCACTGTTTTGCTCGTTGCCGCTTGCTAAATAAAGAAATTGCAAGCTCTGACTCACATCAATTCAGGAACTAAATTTATAACAAAATTGATGCCGTGACTCGGATCGTGTTTTTTCTGGAGGAGTTCCATATGGGGGAGGCGCCCTGCTGAATTTCAGCACCTGAGGATCAGTCTTCTGGAGCCCTGACCGACAAACCCTAAAATTCGGCAACAAGAAAAAGAATACTGGTAACCCCATAATCTTTGTGCACGAAGTCCTGGACGAAGATGCAGATTTGCGTGAGTATAGGCCGGTTTCCCATTTGGTTGGGGTTGAGCGTGATGTTTGAGATGCCCAGTAGGGCGAAGCAAGTGTGTACCCCTCGGTAGTGCGGTTCCCATATCCCGTGAGGGGCTGGGCCACGAAAAGGGGGAGCAAATTGTGTGAGTGTGTGGAGATGCTCCGGAAGGTGGGACAGAAGAAAAGCAAGCCTTCTGATCCTATGGGTGGTTCAGGAACCCAGGTGAGGTACCCTCAAATACCACCAGATAGCCCTTTAGGATTGATGTTAAATCATTGGGAAGATTACCGCTCTAGGAGGGGTAAGGACAAAGTAAAAATGATTTATTATTGTGTGGAAGTTTGGAGAGGTAAACAAATTAGGAGTGACCATCTCTTTTGGCCTGGTTTTGGGTCCTTCGAAGAGCGGGTCTGCCAAGTTTTAAACATTTATGTTAATTCAAAGGAACCCTTTAGTTAGGAGGAAAGTGAGTATGCACATGTATGGATAGCATCAGATACCCAAGTAAATTTATACCTTCTGAAAGAGGGTGGAGGAGAGGTCAGGAAAAAGAAGAAACATACTGAGGATGAAACTCCTACCTCTCCCCCTTTTTACATACTTCCACCCCTGACCGCTCCAGAATACTCAGGAGATTCAGATTCCCCATCAGATTCTCCAAAGGAGCAAAGAAGAATAATCTGGAGTCAGACTAGAGGAGGGCAAGGGGATACCAACTTGTACCCCTTAAGGGAGGTGGCTACGGGTGGACCCCAGCCAGGTGTGGGTTATGTGACAGTTCCCCTTAACTCAGGGGACGTTAGAGAATTTAAGAAAGAGATGGAGAATCTGTTGGAGGACCCTTTGGGTGTGCAGAACTGGTGGATCAGTTCTCGGGACCAAATACTTATACTTGGGATGAGATGCAGGCTGTAACGGCTATATTATTCACTGTAGAGGAAAGAGAGATGATCAGAAGGGCAGGAATGAGGATTCGGGACCAACAGCACTGGCAAGATCCAGCAGCAGATGTAAAATGGCCTCTGAATAGACCTAATTGGAATAATCAGAATGAAATTGATAGAGGCCACATGCAAGACTTGAGGACAATTTTAGTCAAAGGCATAAGAGAATCAGTCCCTAGGGGACAAAATATAAACAAAGCCTTTAGTGAACACCAGAAAAAGGATGAAACCCCTACCGAGTGGTTAGAGAGATTGAGGAAAAACCTCCAGCTCTTCTCGGGACTGGATCCAAATACACCAGAGGGGCAGGCATTGTTGAAAACACAGTTTGTGGCAAAAGCATGGACAGATATTAGAAGGAAGTTAGAAAAAATGGAGGATTGGCAGGATCGAGGATTGGACAAAATGCTTAGGGAGGCACAGAAAGTCTATGTCCAAAGGGAAGACGAGACTCAATAGCAGAATGATGGAAGCCACGATAAGAGAGGGACAGAGAGTGAATGGTCCTGGGAGAAAACAGGAAGGCCAACGATCAGGATCAAAGGAACCAGAGAGGGGAAGAGGAAAAGGGATTATTGTTTGCTTTTATTGTGGAGGGAAAGGCCACACGAAGAAGAACTGCAGAAAGAGAATGATGGATGAGAGAATGTTTAAGGAAGATTAGGGGTGTCAGGGGCTCAAGAACGAACTGAGCTCTTGATAAAGTTAAAAGTAGGACCCCAGCAACAAGAGATAATTTTTTTAGTAGATTCAGGAGCAGAGAAATCTACCGTTCAGTCATTGCCCCAGGGATGTGAAATTTCATTGGAAAAAGTACAAGTGGTTGGAGCAAAAGGGGAACCATTTGGAGTACCTGTAATCAAAGATGTACTCCTCGAAACAGATTCTAAAATGGGGATGGGATCCTTGTTGCTTGTAACTGAAGCTGGGTATAATTTGCTGGGAAGGGATTTAATGATAGAATTAGGAATTAGCTTAGAAGCAACTGAACATAACCTCAAAATTAAACTATGTCCCTTATGGGTTGAAGATGAGACCAAAATAAATCCCAAAATATGGTATACCCCTGACACTGTGGGGAAATTGAATATTGAGCCTTTTATGGTGACCATTCGGGACCCTGAGATACTGGTGAGAATTAAACAGTACCCTATATCTCAGGAGGGAAGGCAAGGATTGAAAACAGAAATTCAGAGATTGATAAAGGAGGGATTACTGGAGCCCTGCATGTCTCCTTTTAACACCTCCATTTTACCCGTCAAAAAGTCGGATGGAAGGTATAGGTTAGTCCACGACCTAAGAGAAATTAACAAAAGAACTGTAACCAGATTCCCTGTAGTAGCCAATCCACATACACTTTGAAGACAATTAGGCCAGAATGACCAGTGATACAGTGTAATAGACTTGAAGGACGCTTTCTGGGCGTGCCGCCTTAAAAGGGAATGTAGAAATTATTTTGCCTTTGAGTGGGAGGACCCAGAAACCCACAGAAAAACCCAACTCCGGTGAACAGTCCTGCCCCAGGGGTTCACCAAATCCCCAAACTTGTTCTGGCAGGCTCTAGAACAGATTTTACAAGATTACCAGGTAGGAGACACTCTCACCCTGGTTCAGCATGTAGATGATCTTTTAATCTCAGGGGAAGATGAGGAAATGGTGTGGGAAGAAGGCATCAGGCTGTTAAAGTTTTTGAGTTTAAAGGGACTAAAAGTATCAAAATCCAAATTACAATTTGTTGAAAAATAAGTTAAATACTTAGGGCATTGATTAAGCCAAGGAGCTAAGAAGCTGGATCCAGAAAGAGTTAAGGGAATACTTTCCTTACCAAGCCCAAAACCCAAGAGGTAAGTCCAGCAGCTGTTAGGATTATTCGGATATTGTAGACGGTGGATCGAGGGGTACAGTAGGGAGGTGAAGTTCCTATACAACAAGATAACTAAGGATGGATTACTAAAATGGACCCAGGAGGATGACAGGTGGTTAGAAGAACTAAAACCTGACCTAGTAAATACTCCTGTCCTGAGCTTGCCCGACCTAAAAAGGCCATTATTCTTGTTCACTAACATAGAGGAAGGAACCGCATTTAGAGTATTAGCTCAGGAATGGGCAGGGAAAAAGTAACCAATGGCATATATGTCAAAATTGCTGGATCTTGTAAGCCGGGGATGGCCTACGTGCCTACAAGTTGTGGTGGCAGCCGCTTTGTTAACTGAAGAAGCCCATAAAATAACCTTTGGAAGTGAATTGAAAGTACTATCACCCCATAATATCAGGGGTGTGCTACAACAAAAAGCAGATAAATGGATAACTGATGCAAGACTAGTCAAATATGAGGCGATCCTCATTTCATCCCCCACCTAACACTTAAGACCACATCATTACAAGATCCAGCCCAATTTTTGTATGGAGAGCCTAGTGAGAATCTTTTTCATGATTGCCTCCGTAACATAGAAGAACAAAGTAAAATAAGACCAGATCTGGAGGAAGAGGAATAAGGAAAAGGAGAAAAATTATTTGTAGATGGGTCCTCTCAGGTGGTGGAAGGGAAAAGAAAATCAGGATATGCCATAATTGACAGAAAAACCTCTGAAGTGATAGAATCAGCACCCTTGAGTCCCAGCTGGTCAGCACAGGCATGTGAATTATATGCAGTATTAAAGGCTTTACAGATGCTGAAAGGAAAAATAGGAACTATATATACAGATTCTAGATATGCTCTTGGGGTAGTGCATACTTTTGGGAAAATATGGGAGGAAAGAGGTTTAATTAATTCTCAGGGGAAAGATCTGGTACATCAGGAATTAATACTACAAATTCTACAAGCTGTATGGGGGACCGCCGAAATAGCGGTAGTACACCTAAAAGGACACCAGAGGGGGCTAAACCCTCTAATAAGAGAGCATAACCTGGCTGATCAAGAGGCAAAAAGAGAAGCTTTATTAACATTACACTTAGACGACCCCATAGAAGCTAGAAAGCAGTGTATTAATTGTGGAAGTGATTACTTCCCCTGTTATGCTTGCTGGAAGAACTTCGGGGTAGAGGGTATGGAGTGTGTATGCGAAAGGCCAGGCTTTAAGTGGTGCTATTTTCATGGGAAAACCCATGAGATCTTAAGCTTTACTATACAAGAAAAAGTAAAATTGAATCAAATGGGAATTGAACAAAAATCTAGGGGGAAGTGGGAACTCCCAGATGGCCAAGAAGTTCTCTCAAAACCTGTAGCAACCAAAATAATGCAACAATTTCACCAAAAGACTCATTTGGGAACTCAAGCATTAGTAGATCAATTTGCAACTAAATATATGTGTATTGGGATATATGACATAGCCAAACGGGTGGTAGGGGAATGTCTCCTTTGCCAAAAAGTAAATAAACATCAGATAAGGAAACAAGTGCATGGGGGAAGAAATCTAGCTCATAGGCCCTTTGAGAAAATACAAGTAGACTTTACTGAATTACCAAAGGTAGGGAGATATAAGTATTTACTAGTAATTATAGATCACCTAACCCATTCTGTAGAAGCCTTTTCCACAGCTCACACAGTAACTAGAATATTACTTGAAGAAATTATACCTCGATATAGAACAATAGAAGTAATAGACTCAGACAGGGGCCCACACTTTGTATCTAGAGTGGCCAAAGAGACTTTGGCTGCCCTGGGTACACAGTGGCAATACCACACTCCATGTCACCTTCAGAGCTCAGGAAAGGTTGAACGCATGAATGGGGAGATAAAAAAAAAGCTTACCAAATTAATGTTAGAAACTAAAATGTCATGGGTAAAATGTCTCCCCTTGGCCCTATTAAATATCAGAACCCAGTCCCGAACAGATGTAGAGATCTCTCCCTTTGAAATGTTACATGGGATGCCTTATGATTTGGAAATGCCCCCTGATCACCCCCAACTTGAAGATGCAAGAATAAAATCCTATCTAATACAACTAATGGCAAGGAGAAAACAATTGCAAGCCCGGGGAATGGTAGTACAAAGGCCTCCCTTAGATATAGCAATGCATCAAATTCAACCAGGAGATAAAGTATTGATTAAATCG